GTAGTGATGAATACTAGATGACACTTGTTAGGTGTCTTTGTTGCTGTTGTTGAGTTGCTCAGTCATGTCTGACTCTTCGTGACACTGTGGACTGCAGTGCGCCAGGCTTCCCGATCCTTCACCGTCTCCTGGAGCTTGCACAGACTCATGTCCATTGAGTCGGTGATGCCAAAGCCAACCATTGCATCACTAAATAAATAAACAGTTAGTTGTTCTATTTATTTATTTTTAGTTTAGAATGAGGTGAGGTTCTTGGTAAGGACTGTAGCTATTTCTCAAAAAGACTTCTTGACAGAGCTTAACCCTCGAGATTCTTGAGGATCACGAAAAGTCCAAGAGGGAAAGTGAATTGTTAAATTATTTCTGAGAGTAGCTTCTGTTTTCAACCTTGAGAGAATGAGTCAGCCTCTTATTTCCCAGATTAACTTAAAAAAATTAAGGTATTCATATCTGTATATTTAGGTTAAGTATTGATTTGTTAGCCAATATGGGGAAAAGAAGAGAAACCTTGTAATTTTGAACTCTCATGTTTTCAAAACTTATATTTTCACTGGAACATTTAGTCGTTTTTCTCCCCCACCATCTGATTCTATATATTTACTGCAAAGTAGATATTAAAATAAATATATATATATATATAACTGGTCTTTACTAAGGTATTACATTTCTTAGCTATCAGTATAACTGACTTTGTTTTCAAGCCAGAGGCATCTTATTTTTGAAGTATTTGTATTTATGATATTGATTAAATGTAGTTTCAAAGAATTACTATTCACACCCATTTTTGATCATTAATATTAATTTAACTAATGTTTAATAAGTGTCTATTCCCTCCTAAGTGCATGAATGGTTATACAGAGAATAGAATCTATGTTCTGACTTTCAAGAACTTTGACACTGAGTTTTAAATACCTTTTAAGTTGTTCTATATGTTATTTAAAAGTTGTTTTATGTTGTTGAAAACACATTAAAAAGCTCATACAAGTTGGGTTTATTTCAGGGATGCAAGGATTCTTTAATATATGCAAATCAATCAGTGTGATACACCATATTAACAATTGAAAGATAAAAACCGTATGATAATCTCAATAGATGCAGAAAAATCCTTTGACAAAATTCAGCACCCATTTATGATTAAAACTCTTTAAAAAATGGGCATGGAAGGAACATACCTCAACATAGTAAGGGCCATATATGATAAGCCCACAGCAAACATTCTCAGTGGTGAAAAGCTGAAATCATTCCCCGTTAGATCAGGAACAAGACAAGGGTGTCCACTTTCACCACTGTTATTCAACATAATTCTGAAGTCCTCGCTATAGCAATCAGAAAAGAAAAAGAAATGAAAGGAATCCAGATCAGAAAAGAAGAAGTAAAGTTCTCACTGTTTGCAGATGACATGATACATACATAGAAAACCCTAAAGATAGTATCAGAAAATTTCTAGAGCTAATCAGTGAATTTAGCAAAGTTTCAGGATATAAAATCAATACACAGAAATTGCTTGAATTTCTACATACTACCAATGAAAAATCAGAGAAATTAAGGAGTCAATCCCTTCATTCACCATTGCAACAAAAAGAATAAAATATCTAGGAATAAACTTACCTAAGAAGACAAAAGAACTGTACACAGAAAATTATAAGACACGATGAAAGAAGTCAAAGATGACATAAACAGATATTCCATGTTCCTGGGTAGGAAGAATCAATGTTGTGAAAATGACTATACTGCCAAATGCAATCTACAGATTCAATGCAATACCTATTAAATTACCAATGGCATTTTTCACAGAACTAGAAGAAAAAATTTCACAATTCATATGGAAACATAAAAGGCCCTGAGGAGCCAAAGCAGTCTTGAGAAAGAGGAATGGAGCTGGAGGAATCAGCCTTCCTGACCTCAGGTTACACTACAAAGCCACAGTCATCAAGACAGTGTGGTGCTGGCACAAAAACAGAAATATAGACCAATGGAACAGGATAGAAAGCCCAGAAAAAAACCATGTACCTCTGGGTACCTTATATTTGACAAAGGAGGCAAGAATATACAATGGGGCAAAGATAGCCTCTTCAATAAATGGTGCTGGGAAAACTGGACAGCTCCATGTAAAAGAATAAAATTAGAACACTTCCTAACACCATACACAAAGATAAACTCAAAATGGATTAAAGATCTAAATGTAAGACCAGAAACTATAAAACTCTTAGAGGAAAACATAGGCAGAACACTTGATGACATAAATCAAAGCAAGATGCCCTATGACCCACCTCCTAGAGTAATGGAAATAAAAATGAAAGTAAACAAGTGGGAGCTGATTAAACTTAAAAGCTTTTTCACAGCAAAGGAAAGTATAAACAAGGTGAAAAGACAGCCTTCAGAATGGGAGAAAATAATAGCAAATGAAACAACTGACAAAAGATTAATTTCCAAAATAATGCAAGTGGCTCATACAACTCAATACCAGAAAAACAAACAACCCAATCAAAAAGTGGGGAAAAGACCTAAACAGACATTTCTCCAAAGAAGACGTACAGATGGCTAACAAACATGTGAAAAGCTGCTCAATATCACTCATTATTAGAGAAATGCAAATCAAAACTACAATGAGATATCACCTCACACCAGTTAGAATGGCCCTCATCAAAAAGTCTACAAACAATAATGCTGGAGAAGGTGTGGAGGAAAGGGAACTCTGTTGCACTGTTGGTGGGAATGTAAATTGAGACAGTCAATGTGGGAGACGGTATGGAGACTCCTTAAAAAACTAGGAATAAAATCACCATATAACCCATCATTCCCACTCCTAGGCATAAACCCTGAGGAAACCAAAATTGAAAGAGACACATGTACTCTGATGTTCATTGCAGCACTATGTACAGTAGTTAGAATGTGGAAGCAACCTAGATGTCCATCAACAGATGAATAGATAAAGAAGTTGTGGTACGCATACACAATAGAATATTACTCACCCCCAAAGAGGAACACATTTGAGTCAGTTCTAATGAGGTGGATGAACCTAGAGCCTATTATATAGAGTGGAGTAAGTCAGAAAGAGAAAGATAAATATCGTATACTAACACATATATATGGAATCTAGAACAGTGGTACCAATGAATTTTTTTGCAAGGCAGCAGTGGAGAAACAAACATAGAAAACAGACTATGGATGTGGGGAGAGGGGAGGAGAGGGTGAGATGTATGGAGAGTAACATGGAAACTTAATTATCGTCTGCAAAATAGATAGCCTATGGGAATTTGCTGTGTGTCTCAGGGAACTCAAACGGGCTCTGTATTAGCCTAGAGGGGTGTGATGGGAAGGGAGATGGGAGGGAGAGCAAAGAGGGAGGGGACATATGTACACCTATGGCTGATTCATGTTGCTATTTGACAGAAAGCAAGAAAGATCTGTAAAGCAATTATCCTTCAATTAAAAAAATAAATGAAAAATAAAAGTTTTATGTTGTTGTATATCCTCAAGACAAATCCCTGGCACTTTAAGCAAGTTTTTTTATCCTTTTGAGAGACAGTTTACTCTTCATTTCTAAAACTATTAGTATATATGGCCAATATTAGTACATATGGACAATTACCACAGATACAGGCATAAAACCAAAATGAGAACAAAGGTTGATAAACATGTAGGAAATTTGAGTATAGAAAAATAGAGTGCTTGAAATTATAGATATGAAACATAGAAATTAGGGGGTTCTTGAAACAAAAATATGACTGTATGAAAAAAAATTTAAAAAAAAAGACTGTATGTAGTGCTTCTCTTTAACACTCTGATTTCTGTATTACTCTCTGATGGATTCTTAGCAAATATACCAGCTTCTAAAAAGATACTGACCATTTTATTTCCCATTTTTACTCTGGGTAACATCAAATGATAGTACTTACATATAATTAATATTACTGAGTGGTGTTAATAATAACCAGATTCTTGACCTATATAATTTGTTTTATACCAATTAGAAAAGTTATTATCCCTATATGTGTAATGATATATTTTTAGATATATTGTTAATCATATTTTAAAAACATGTAAGTTAAAAGATAATTAGAAAAAGGACTGTAGTAATAAACTGATAAGAATATTCAATTCTCCACAATTATGTATCAAAGTATATGAAGCAGGAGTCTTTTGTTATTTTGTACATTCAAATAGCTTGACTATGTCTAAACTTTAAACATTAAGGTGAGAAATATATCTTGAGATCTTTTTAATAGTAAGTTTGCATTGTTCCTAGCCCTAAGGTCTTCCTTATTTCCTTAATTTTGCTGTTTGTAGTATTTTCAAATCCGTTTCCACTCAGTTTTCTTCCTTCCTGCTTCACTCCTAGGATGAATACATTATAGAAGGAGACTTAATCGAATTCCTTCTTGTTTGGCAGCTGTTTAGGAAAAATGTTTATAATCTTGACATATCAGTGATATCCTACAGTATTTGTCTTTTTCTGCCTGGCTTATTCACTTAGCATAATACCTGCCACGTTCACGCATGCTGTCTTGTTTTTGCTCATGCATGTTGTCTTAATATAAATCTAACTTTCTTTTATTTTGGTTATTTTCATTTTATTTCTTTTATTTTTATTATGACTTAGATAAACAGAGAATAGATTGGTGTTTGCCAGGGGCTGGTAGATGGGGGAAAAGAGAAGAGTTTTGGTAAAAGGATATAAGCTTTCAGTTAAAAGATGAATAAGGTCTAAGCATCTAATGTATAATGTGGTGACTATAGTTGATATTACTGTATTGCATGATTGAAATATGGTGAGAGAGTAGAATCAGTGTTCTCACCAGAACAGAAAAAAATAGGCAAATACATGAGGTGATGGATGTGTTTGTTAATTAATTCCATATGTGGGAATTCTTTCACAGTGTATATGTATATCATATCATCATGTTGTAGACTTTAAATGTCTTATAATTTCATTGGTTAGTTAATTGTCGGTAAAGCTGGAAATAAAAGATTGACTAAATTTTGAAAATTTTTAACAGGTTATATCAATCAGTGAAAATTCTGTATTCCTTCGGCATCTTTGTGACATATTCAATTCAGTTCTATGTTCCAGCAGAGATAATTATCCCTGTGATCACATCCAGATTTCATCCTAAATGGAAGCAAATCTATGAATTTGTAATAAGGTCCTTCTTGGTTACTATTACTTGTAAGTATCACTGCATACTTATAATGATTTTTATTGTTGAATTTCTTCTAATGAAGCTACTTAAAGTATATTTTTTATATTTTTGAAATAATTTTGTTCACCTAACTGGATACATTTTGGTTTAAAATTCTGTTATTCTACTGATATAGAAGAAAATCATAAATCAGATACTATCACACTTAAAATAAGTAACCAAATTTTTATTTTCAAAATAATATCACTCATGATTGAAATATAAGTATATTTAAATCAGATGCATAAGTGACCCTTTCTATCACTGACAGCATTTTGCTTTGGCTTTCTAGTTTTCCTGAGGTTTTTTATATCTGCTAACTTGTGTGTTCAACAGTTCAACTCTCCATGACTACCTGTACAAATGGGTTTTGTTCTCTTTTGGTCTTTAACAATTTCAGTGGTTTATTTTACTTATTATTTGAAGGAGTGTGTATAATCTCTTCTTATCATTTCATATTATAAAATGCCCCCACAAGGTAGAATTAATCATGGAGACTCACGGAGAGGGGCCTTTAGTTTGGTGTAGCACTGTCACAGTGACCCGACGGTTCAAAACTCAGGCCTCCCACTTCCTTGCTGGGTCTTTAGTTAATTTACAAACCATCTTTGAGTCCTTCTTTCCTCAACTATGAAATTAAGATAAGGCATTTAAAAATATGAACAAAGTGGTTAGAAGTTGCTGTTAATACTATCATTATTGTCACCACTTTTATTATAATTGCAAACAGAAAGATGATTGCCACATTGACCTATCTAATGGCATTGCCTAGGATGATTCCAAGGACGAGAGGACTGGTGACTGGGGGACAAGCAGCTTTGGAAATTCTAGAGAAGATTTAAGTAACTCTCTTAGCCCATTTGAGGTTAGAGGATGGTAGAACTAGAAATTCTGGGCAACTGTGTAAATTTCATTGAGCACCTTGGGGTGGAGCTTATGCCTAGATTTAAAGAATTGGGTGTATTATATTTTGTTCAAAGAAACAGCAAAGCTGAGCAAAGTAGATAAAGTAGATAAGACTTACTTTTAAAAGCAATTATTTAAATGAAATATGTCAACTATATAAGGGAAATCACATTGAAGAATGAAGTCAGTAAACCCATACTCCAATGACTAATGAAACACCCAAGAGGAAAAAATTATTTTAAAACGTTTTAGAATATTCTTTACACATTACTTTTATTGACATTTTGACAGCTGTACTAAATAAAAAGATTTATTTCAGGCAAAGTCCTTTTATCAGGAGATGTAAGGCAGTTCTATTCTGAACGCATATCTCCTTTTAAGGTTAGCTACTGAATTTTAATACCTTCACCCATTTCTGCACATTGGGTGCTGTCATGTCTGCTGTGGTCCAGACCAGTCTGCACCTTTGCCACCAGGAGTTTATTCCCACAAGCCAGGGCTTTTCCTCAAGGGCTGAGGACGTAGCACCGAGAGTTGCAGCCTTTTCTTTGTCGCTTCTTTCTTTTAGTTACAAATGGAGAAGCCTATTTAACCATATGTGAGGGCTATATTTACAGCATGCTTTGGACACAGAGAACACAGACTGTGTCATACTCCCTTCTACTTCACTGAGACACATCGCTGGACACTGACCTTCATTTCAGTCTTTGGCAGGTCCTTCCAAGTTAAAGTCAACCGATGTTCATGACAGGCCTGTTTTGTATCAGTTATCCAAAGCACTGGAAAATGTCCTGGGGCGGACTCTGCTGATGGGCGTGTGGAGAGCTGGGGGGACCTTGTCCTGTCCATAGAGCAGGTTGTGCGGCACCAGCAGGGGTAGTGGGGGCCCCGCTGGGTTTGCGCGTTTCAGGCCCCTTCGTCCTTTCCAGGTGCGGAGTCCACATCTGCAGGACAGATCTGCAAAGTATGGGGCTCATCAGCTCGGGTTATATTAGTTATGTCCATGTCTCCATTTAGTATTGAATCGCCGTTTCACAGCATCTTTTCATGGAATCAAAAGCTTGAAAGGATGGGTCAGGCTCTTCCTGCATGTTCCCTGTAGACCCTTCCCTGCTAGGTAGGCATTCCATAGGTAAGAGAGAAGAGTGACTGGAAACTGGCCAGAGGCCACCTTGGACTGCAATAAATGCCTTTTATTTTAAAGGCAAACCTGTAAAAAGCTGCTAGATTTTGATTTTAGACCAGTATTTTGATTCCCTGTTTAAATTGAACCCGCAAAATATGTTAAATACTACTTATTTCTGTTATTGTTTGGTTCATTGATCCTTTTACTGTTTCTAGTTGGAAAAGCCCTTGGATTTGAGAGTATGCTTTCTTCTTTAGTAAACTATGACTACATAAAGCATAAATCTTTGGTAGTTTGTAGAATACTAAGAAGATATACCAGAATCATTTAAGTTAGTTGTCACAGTAGCTGAAAATAAGTACCATTCTGTGCCCTAGTATTCTTAGAGTCAGTAGGGATATGGAGAGGATCATTCACTGTTTGTGCAATTTAAATTTGTGTGCTGCAACTAGTGAAAGCCTGGGTGCAGCAGTGAAGACCCAGTGCAACCAAAACTAAAATAAGTTTTAAAAAAGATTTACATGCTAGAGTGTTGTTGATGTTATAATATCAAGCATTTTATTTTTTCTCTGTATATCTTTTACCATTAAGATGCAAGAAAATGGACCTTTTTTCCATGGCTTTTTTTTTCCACTTCAGGGGCAACTTTGTACCGTAAGACTACACTCTTTTCCTCTATAATACAGTTTTTGGAAATACTGAATAAGATTAATTAGTACTTAATAGATATATTCATAATAACTGTCTGTAAATGACAAAGGGCAGCCTATTTATAGTAATCCTGTAGTGAATATTTGTAATTTGTAGTGAACTATCCTTATCTAAGCTATCCTTTGACTTACTATTTTTGTGATTTTTGAGTTCTATGTCAGATTTGCCTAAAGTATATATGTTTCACTTTCTTCTCTACTAACATTATCAAATAACATTTCAAGCCATTTTTACTAGCAAATATATATTTGTTATATAACATGTAAAGAATGACTGTCTAATTGATAAATTTCATGATTTAAAAGCATTTGGTAGACGGAATTTTAGTCTGAATGAATAAATTCTAAAATACTATAGTGCTTCTCCAGATGCTTTTCCAACAGTACTTCACTTGATTTACTCATAACAACTTGGACTATTGGAAAACATTAATAACAAAAAATAGACTCCAAAATGAAAGGCTCTTTAGATGACAAGGTGGTAGTCATGTTGGTCTGGTTGTCCTTTTAAATACTGCCATCTACTGTAAGTGTTTTATCACAAAATGGATAAAAGCCAGTGGGTTTTGAAACGTTCTGTTGTGATTGAGAGTTATGTTTATACTTCCCTTGAGAGAAATGTTAAAATGGTATAGCACACATCCATTAAACAAGGATTCACTTTATAAAGTATTTCTAGTTTAGAGTTCCAGCTTCACATTCAGTTAGTTTACTTAGGAAGATTTATTGTACTTCAGTCTTGTAGAAGTGCAGCTACGTTTATGATTTCAAAATAATTTTTTTAGGATTTTGGTTTTCATAATAATGAAAATAAAAAGTGGTAAATAGTAGTGTGTGGTTCTGAGAAATGCGGTGGCTCCAAATTAACGCCACATCCTCCTGGAAAACATCGAGAGGTGCAAAGAGAATACAGGGAGGGAACAAACCATAAACTAACAATTAAGAAGTAAAGAAACCAGTAGACCAGAAATCGAAACTTAATTACGAAGAGTGTGAGTTAAATTTATGCACACACACCCCACAGAAAGTTCAGTAAGAGACAAACACGCAGGAGGAAGAAAAGCAAAGGAGAGTAACCTCAGAATAGAAGGATGATGAAGATTAGTGAGACAACTGATAGCTTTTGAAGACAAGGAAAGGAGCACCAACACATGCGTAATCAGAGTCCTCAGAGCCGGCACTGTGGTTACGTAGTCGTCTCTGGAGGCGGTGGTGATAGAGCTGTCACATCGTGCATGCCAGCAAACTTAGCTGTTATTTCCGGTGGCAGCTCCAACCCTTCACAAATCATTCACTGAACTACTTAAGGACAATTCAGACAAAGACTGTGTCTCGATTTTTGCAAACCTTCAGTTGATACCTTTTGGTAAGATATAGATAAGATCAAAAAAGTGCTGGATCAAAACTTGCAGAAAACTTGTCAATAGCTTGGCATAAAATCCTGCTGACAATAATGGTGCATAATTTTTTTTAACTTTTCATTTTGAAATAGCTTAGAGAAGCTGTACAAGAAAGTAGAATTACCATAAACCCTTTACTGTTTCCTCTAATGTTAACAGCTTACACACCACAATACAACTGTTAAAGCCAGGAAATTAACATCGATAAAATGCTACTAACTCATTTATAGACCTCACTTTTATTTCACCAGTTTTTCCACTGTTACCCTTTTCCTGATCCAGGAACCAATTCAAGGTCCCACTTGAATTTAGTTGTCAAGTCTACTTGGTCTCCCCCAGTCTTGACAGTTATCTTTTTCTATCTTCATTTACCTTGACATCTTTGAAGTGTCAGTGATTTTGTAGAATTTCCTTCCATGTAGATTTGTGTGATGCTTTCTTATGACTAGGGTGAAGTCAAGCATCTTTAACAAGAACTCCACAGGTGATGGTTTGCTCTTCTCAGTCCATCACATTACGGCTTAGGACTGGTGATGTTAACTTTGATCACTTGGTTAAGGTGGTGTCTGTCAGATGTCTCCACAATAAAGGTACTCTTTTTTTTCCCTTTATGAGTTTTTTATAGGGGTATTTCCTGTTCTTATACAGTTGGTGTTATAAAGTGTTAAGTGTTAGTCACTCAGTCGTGTCTAACTCTTTGCAACCACATAGACTATAGCCTGCCAGACTCCTCCATCCATTGGATTTTCCAGGCAAGAATACTGGAGTGAGTTGCCATTTCCTTCTCCAGGGGATTTTCTGACCCAGGGATCCAACGCAGGTCTCCGGCATTGCAGGCAGATTCTTTGTCGTCTGAACCTTTTGCCCATTAATTTTAGGATCCTTCATTGACTTTTCCTGCAACAGTTATTATTGTGGTGTTTACTTAATAATTTTATGTTTCCATGGTTTCTTCTATTTTGGTTAATTTGAATTCTAATGTAAGAAATACTTATCTCTTCTCTTTGATTTAACCATTTGTTTATACCATACCAGCCAAGATTTTGTGCTTTGTAGAATGAGCTATATGGCAGAATAATGAAAATGCATTCTTTACCCAAAACTTCATAGCAAAAATTAAAAGTTGTCTACGTAAGAAACCCTGTTGATAAGTCAAAGTCGGAGAAACATCACTCAATGTTTTGGCTTCTTTCTTTGTTTTCATTTTTAGCTGAGAACAAAATGTGACAGATGCTTCCACAAGCAATAGTCTCGTAGTGCCTACTTGCATCAGTTAATCTTAATGTATTGAAAGTATCTGCAGTTAGTATTTACATAAGTATTAGATATTTACACAAGGAAAATTTGTATTTTCAATTTTCTAGGTGCTGGCGCGATCCTCATTCCTCGTTTAGACATTGTGATCTCCTTCGTTGGAGCTGTGAGCAGCAGCACGCTGGCCCTGATCCTGCCGCCTCTGGTTGAAATTCTCACCTTCTCTAAGGAGCACTACAGTATATGGATGGTCCTGAAGAACGTTTCCATCGTGTTCACTGGAGTTGTTGGTTTCTTATTAGGGACATATGTAACTGTTGAAGAAATTATTTATCCTACTCCCAAAGCTATCACTAGCACTCCACACGGTCCCTCTTTAAATTTGAATTCGACATGTTTTATATCGGGTTTGAAGTAGTAGGAGCAGAGATATGAGTCTCCAGTTTGGAAATGATTCAAGAACCACTAGGACACGTTGGCAGTACTGATAAGCTATAACATATTGCTTGGTTTTAAGTACTAACAGCAATTTCAAAAGTTTTAGTTTTGAAAATTGAAAAAATTAAAATGTTAAAGAATTAAAGGAATACTCTATTACTTGTCTTTCAGTCAGAAATGATTCAACCAAGATTCTGTCTTTTACTTCCATGCTACTCTCTTGTCACCTGGTTGAGGAGAGAACAGGATTTCAACATTAAGAGAATTAAAGAAGAAGGTATAGGTAACTAAAATCTGACCACCCTGATGAATTTCAAAGTATACTTCATGTTAGTATAGAAATATCTCAATTATGTTTTTATTAGAGAGCCAGATACTTAGGTTTACCCCTTTGAAGTTTAGAAAACCCTCATTAGCCATGATGTAAGCATCAGAAAATCCCCCAAACAATTATTTTTAGCTGATCTTCATAATGAAAATCAAGAGGGCCTGTGCAAGAGTCTGACTTAGTGTTTCAACCAGATTTGAAAGAGACTTTAAAGGTTGTGGAGTTCAAATTCGCTTGTTTTTTTTACCTGCGGAAATAGATACCCAGGATGGTTAAAGTTAACTTGGTCAAGACCACTCAGCTTGAGATCAAGAGAACCTAGTCTTCAGATTCCTGGTCCAGGATTTTTTATCTTTCACGTCACATCCTAGAAAAAGAATAAATTATGTTCAGTTCAACTTTAGTGTTGAGTCGGTTTAGTATGCTGTTTGCCAAGCGCATGTGACCTGCGCAGACAGTCAGGGAGCTCTGAGAAGCCTGCAGCGCAGCCGTGGGGCAGAAGCAGCGCTTTAATGAACCAGCAGAAACCCCCTGCTGGCTAGCTTCTGGCAGGTAGAGAGTGCCCAGCTGTCCTGCGTGGGGCTTGGCTCTCATTGTTTCTTCCTTCCTAGGTTTATAGGTACCATCTTTCCTAGTGACAAAAAAATAGATAACTTGCCGTGATACAGGACCTGTGCCCTCTTTGTGGCCCTATGGCCTTCCTCATCAGAGCCTTCTATTGCTCTGCATGGGCAAAATAAAAGAAACCTTCAAGCCTAGGAAAAATCGAGGCAATGATAAACTGTTAAATACTGACAGCTCCAGGCTTCCTCCAGAGAAATGCATTCTTTTCTACTCCTCCATATTTTTCAAGGCCAGTTACTAACCAAAACAAAGAATCTCAGTGGGCATGGAAGATGAAATGGTTAAATTTAAAATTGAGAATCTTGATTTTTTTTTTTTAATCATAATTTAAAACTCATTGAATTTTTTAGTCAGTTTGGTGAAAGATATCACCAAGATCACTGCAGTGTATATTTTCTCTTATTTTTGTATGTAAATGTCAGTTCAAGTATTTTTTGCTTACATCATAGAGTCAAGCATAATCCTAAAGGTATATCAGAAACTTTGTTTTGGTACAAATTCATCAGCATCAAACTTTAAAAAAAAATTTGCATCAAGAATCACCAGTAATTGTTTATGACACTTTTATGTCAAATCTGTTATGTTGAACCTTTAGTCATATTGGGAAAATGTGGAAGAAATTGTAGGAGAAGTAATTGCCATTGAAGCTAATGTTATATAATCTTGAACATAAGAGTAAATTAGGTATTTTTTTTAAGATACGTAACTTGGTATAAAGTGACTTGAAAACTATTATTTAATTCAAAGCACTATTAGATTTTTTTGTCAGCTGTCTCAGATAATATTTCTAGTCTGTGTGATATTTTATTTTTGTAGTTTTGCCTTTTTTATTTTCTTTATGAAATTTATCAATTTTAGTGAAATATCAAATGGTTGATCATAGCAATATATAAATTTTAATTTCAGTGAACAAATGTTAAGTATATTTTCAGGGTAAAGTTGAAATGCAGAAAGGAAGAGCAGGAGAATAGTTTTAGTTCCCAACAAGAAACACTGTGTAGATGTAAATGCACTCTATGTAAGGATTTTTGATGATTTATTTCATTTGCAAAAAAAAATCAGGCAATATTTTTCCTTTGAAAATTATTTTTAATGAGTCATAACATTTTCTGAATGTTATTAGAGAAGATACTTTGATCAAACCAGCTATTGATTCTATTTGGGGACCTGGAAAAATGAGAGTGATTGCACCTATCAAATTTTTTATCCAGTATCTTTGGTCCATTGCATTCTGGGTAAAATGACTTCAGCGTTTCATCTGCCACCACAGTAAAACACCTTCGGAAAGCCAACCAGGTGTCTTATGAACTTTACTACTGGAATGGGGAAGAGAAAGGAAAACTTTATTCACGTCTGAAAACCTCAGAGCTAAGCCAGTCACCTCTGTTCCTTTCCAGCCAAAAGGGTTTCTCCAGTTTCAGAGTCAGCTTATCAAAACACTGGCTCTCAGACCTTTCTTTTTTATCAAAGGATCTGCTTTTCCCCGAATGGCATGGTTTCTCCACAAGTGAAGAAATAAGACCTAGTTTTTCTTAAAGACCAGTTTGTATAGTGTTACCAAATGAAAAATGTACTATGTTAGCAAATGCCACATTATGTTTTAATTCTGTCCTCTGGATTCTCCTGTTGAAATGATTTCTGCCTCTTACCTGTGTGATGCACTTAACATTTTTGAAAGTGTTTTATGCAATATGCATGTTGTAAATGTCCTAACGTGGCCTGATTTCATTCAGTATTTTTGTAGTAGTTGTAGAAAAGCTCTCCAACTGTAAAGTGCTATACAGATACTAATTGGGATATTAATTGAAGTTCTACATCAGTGACATGTCCAGCTGTGGGCATGCTTTACTCTAGCTTACCTGTTCATCTCCTCTGGGGCTGGCATGCCAAAGAGGTCAGAACAGCAGCTGAGAAGTGCATTTGTTTACTGATAATATGTATCCACTCATTTCTTCATTTGAAAGGGAGAAGATACATGACAGAGCTAATAGAAGTAATAAATAAAATTATTTAACTGATACCAGTGGCTCAGTGAATATTTTCTGTTGAGAAAATAACTTGGTAAAAACAAAGGCAATGCTATAAAATGAGTTTTTTAGAATGAGTATTTTAAACTTTTTGCCTCAGTTAGCTCCCCTTCATAAAACAGTTTGAGAGACTTTGATCTAAAAGGTATAACAAGATACTTCCTTACATTAAATGGCTCACTGTAATAATTAACACTTTGGCAGTATGGTTAACCATAATTAATCTTATTCACGCAACTGGTGCTCACTAGGCTAAACACAGTTCTCAAAGTTGTTGGTTCTGACCTAGGAGATAAGAAAACATGCTTTAGAAATGTTATTATTGCCCTATTATAAAATGAAATGACAAATCACTCTCATCCTTAAAATTATATATCAAGGTTACCTAGTTCTGATGTATCCACATATATACATTCCAGTTGTCTGTGTTTTATATAAATTTGCCATTTAAATTGGATCCAGAAAGATGTGTGTTGAAAAGATCACCCTGAAAATGATTCCTTTAGAGTTTTCTTGATAACAAATAGGAAAACACACGCTTGTACCATGAATAAATTAAGCTGTGGAGTTTTGTTTCTCAAAATGATGTTGTTTGTTTGAGTGAAAACTACATATCAGTGCACTTGAGTCAATTCTATTTCTTTTAACTTATTTTTCTTTATAGTATGAAAAAATGTCTTAAAAAGTACTGTAACTTCTGAATTTTCAATAAAATATTATTTTGCTTGCAAAATATTGCCTTTTTAAAATAAATTTGTCTTTTAGAAGGTTAAATGACACAAATGTCATAAACTACAAAGGGCACTAGTGTATTCTACTGTAACATTTTAATCAGTCTTTGAGGTTAATTCCTTGTCATGTAACCTTCCACATGGGAGTTGCTGTTATGCCCCTCTGAGATATAAAAACCGAAGTTGACTGAAAATGAAAGGTCATACTCAAAACAGTGACCTGAACTTCCTACAGAGTAAATGCTGGGAGGGCAGTCTGCCAGTGCTGCAGCCATGCCATCATTTACCATTCTCTTAAGGTCAAGGCTGTACCAGTCACATGTTTTCCTTGCAGTATGCCAATCCCAAATCAAAGACCGTAAAGGTATTTATACCTTGACAGCAGTAATTCTGCTCTTGTGAACTTAAGAAAAGGGCATCTCATAGTTCATCAGATGAGAAAGACTCTATACCTAAAGGTGCATTGGGAGCCTCATGTATAATAGTGAACAGCTGAAAACAACCTAAGTATTCAACACTAAGGAAATCATAAATTGTGATGTTTTAGCCTACAGTACAATAGAGATCACATTATTCTACTAACGTTGTACTGAAGATTAGTAATTTGGTAAAGAATAAATACAAAGAGTTAATTTTTTAGCTGCAGCTCTATAAAAACATGCTTTAGGACCAAGACAGGAAGATGAGCAGGACGTAAACCATGGTGCTGAGAAAGAGATGGGTTTTACATTTTACTGCTTTTAAGTGAGTAGTTAAAAGAAGGCAGTGAGAGAAATAGGATTTTGAGAGAGGAACAGGGAATTTATAAAGCTTTAGTGATAGTATATGCTTTTGTTAAAAAAGAAAATAGGCAGAACATAAAGACCAAAAAAGAAAAAAAAATGAACCAAACAAAAATTACAGGATGTGGATAGGAGTGGGTACATAAAAGAGATATAAATTCAATGAAAAGCCCTATGGAATACTTGTTGAAGGAAAAAAGCTATGATCACTTTGTAAAATTAACTTTAGGGTTTTTTTTAAATATAAAAGTTTAGTGTTTGTTCTTAACAGATAAGCACATTCTCTCAAAATTTTACATCCAGATGGATGGAGCTCGCATTTCAAGGGGTCCACAGACCCAAGGGGAAAGAATTCTTGGAAGAGGTGCATTGGTTTTTGAAGTATGGGTTTGGTTCAAAGTTTCCCCATGGTGGTGGATTTGTTTGCAATGGTATGGAGGTCTTTGGTCTTTCACCATTTCCTGAAGCCGTGAAGTACAGGTTGACACGGCAGGAGACAATACAATGCTTCTCAAATGAGACCTAACGTATTAATCTTGCCAAGGAATTTGGGAGTAACTTCCCCATCCTCCGTCCTGGATCTAGATCTGGCCTACAGGACGAGGACTGGACGCTGACCAGCCAACCAGAACTGTGTGGAGAGGAACAGTGTGCTGGGTGTGGGTCAAGGCTGAGCAGGTCTTGAGTAGAACAAGAAAGTGCTGGAAAAAGTGAGCAGTGCAGAAGCAAGCTTCGTCGGATCACAGGCCTACGGTGCCTTACATATTTTTATAGCTTCAGCAGCTCATAATACTCCTCTCAGGCACAGAGTAGGTGCTCGAAACACTGAGCTTGTGACTCCCCTGTCGTAAATCTTTTCTCCTTCCCCAACCTCAGCTGTGCGAAGACCAAGGCCTCCCTCCCTATCTCAGCCTCCAGGTTCCAGCAGCACCAGCACCACATCACACACCAGCTGGTTTTCATCGGCATGACCATCATGTCTTCATGCTGAAATACTTTCTACTTCTTCCTCCACTGTTTGCTGGCCAAGACCTGGTTATTCTTAAGATTCAATTTAGGCGTCTCTTCTACCAGGAAGGCTTCCCGTTTATCCTCTCCTCCACCCAGAACGAGCTGTGCACTCTTTCCTTCACACTAGAAATCGATCTTAGGTTTACTATTCCATTTGGCACACTGGGGTAATTCAGCTTCTGGGTCTGTCTCTCCATTAAATCAGGAGTTCTATGAGCATGCCATGTGTGTGTGTGTGTGTGTGTGTGTGTGTGTGTAGGTGATTTTGTCAACTGTGTTCAGTACTAGAAGCCTGTCATCAGGCACATCAGCGATGCTAAAAAAATATTTGTTAAATAAATGATAAGGAAAATCATTCATTTAACAGAATAAAAAGGAAAAGCCCATATTAGAGTTCTAGCATTTAATAAAATCTTTGAGTGCAGGGGGGCCAAGTCATATTTTTGTACTGACTTCCAGCCCTGTGTGTATTTATTGAATGACTGTGGCCAACTCTCTTTTTCACTTTGTATGTGAGCTCAGCAGGTATCTTACAGAATATCCTCTGAATGAGTCAGGCCTTAAACACATATTCAGGAAATTCTGGTGATTAATGTAAAGTCCTTAAGAAGGAAAAGACTGAAAACCCTCCTTTGCAAACATTTATGTTTTCATGCTTTATATAAGCAAATTGTTTTGTAGAAAAAAAAATCAAAGGTTATGCTTTTTTTTTCATTTATTTTTATTTGTTGGAGGCTAATTACTTTACAATATTGTAGTGGGTTTTGTCATACATTGACATGAATCAGCCATGGATTTACATGTATTCCCCATCCCGGTTCCCCCTCCCACCTCCCTCTCCACCTGATCCCTCTGGGTCTTCCCAGTGCACCAGGCCCAAGCACTTGTCTCATGCATCCAACCTGGGCTGGTGATCTGTTTCACTATAGATAATATACATGGTTCGATGCTGTTCTCTTGAAACATCCCACCCTTGCCTTCTCCCACAGAGTCCAAAAGTCTGTTCTGTACATCTGTGTCTCTTTCTCTGTTTTGCATATAGGGTTATCATTACCATCTTTCTAAATTCCATATACATGTGTTAGTATGCTGTAATGTTCTTTGTCTTTCTGGCTTATTTCACTCTGTATAATGGGCTCCAGTTTCATCCATCTCATTAGAACTGATGATACTTTTTATTTATCATATAACAAATATACATGACCTAGAATGCAAATGTCTGTTTCTGCCTAAAAAGAAGTATGTGTCTAAAGTGTAATGTCTAGTCGTGATATCTGAGGGTATTTTCCTGAACTTTTGATGCTCAGGGGATCCCTGCTGGTAAGAGTCACACATCTAGATGTTTGGAATCTTCTCGCAGGGGTGAATACTCTGGCTGTTCTGAGCAGCTCTGTCTGTGCTCTGTCCTCAGTCACACCTGACTCTTTGCGATCCCGTGAATTGTAGCCCGCCGGGCTCCTCTGTTCATAGAAGTTTTCAGGCAAGAACACTGGAGAGGATTGCCACTTCCTACTCTAGAGGATCTTACCGATCCAGGGATAGAACCCACAGCTCATGCATCTCCTGCACTGGCAGGTGGATTCTTTACCACTAGCACCTCCTGGGAAGTCTTTTCTGAGAAGCTACCTCTTGTCAAAGTGCATCACTCTATATGACAGAAATGAACCTCAGTGCAGGGAAGAATGAAAACCTATCCATGTGGGAAAAGTGACTGCCTAGATGATTATTGTGTAAGAATAGCTAGAAATGAAAATGAAATTAAGAAGAATAGAAATTATATCTGGAAGTTGGAATTAGTTTAACTGAAAAATCACTTGCTCCAGTACATTTTGTTTAATGAGGCTTTGCCCAAGTGTATTATTAGCACATAAAGCAGAGAGTGCTCTGTGGCAATGAGTGACCATAGTCATACCTTTCAGCATAAAACATATGAATTTTGCCACTGGAAAAATACAAGAGACATCAAATTATACTCCTCTTGGAAAAAAATGGATCTGGGTTATCTTTTTCCTATATACTGCTAACTCTGGCCACCCAATGTTAATAATCAAATGTTAATGTCAAAATCTATATCAAAAAACACTGCTGGAAAACAGTATTGAGGTTTCTCCACAAAAACTTAAAACTGAACTACCATTATGAGCCAGGAATTCTACTCCTGGATCTATATCTGAAAAAAATGAAAACACTAATTCAAAAAGACACATGTATCACATTGTTCATAGCATCATTATTTACAATGTTGCTATGAACCTAAGTGTCCATCAACAGATGAATGGAAAAAGACGTGGTGTATATATATACAATGGAATGTTGTTCAGCCTTAAAAAAGAA